TCCAAAGCCCTCGGCCCCCTCAATTCCCTTCTAATTTAATCAAAGCCACCCAGATCCTGAGCCAGCCCTCAAACCCCTCGGCCCACTCAATTCCCTTCTAACTTATTCAAAGCCACCCAGATCCTGAGCCAGCCCAGCCCCCGGTCCCACACTATTCAAGCCAACATTTTTGGTCGGGGGTAGGGGGTGGGGGGTCCACTAAACGGGCCGCCACATTACGGAAGATGAGAGGTTTGAGGGTTTGAGGCTATTTTTCAGCAGTGGGCTCTCTAGATGTCCGCTTGTATAGACATCTCAGAGCTGCGCCGGAACACTCAGAAGCCCTGAACGCAAGCAACTCCTCCTCTGAAGCGTCATGTAGAGGATGGCGGCATAGGGTTTAGGATTTAAGGTTTAAGGTTATTTAGGTGGACATCTACCCAAAGTCTCCAAACCCCGATCCACCGCAAACCCTAGACCCACGAAGCGGTTCTTTATAAACCGCGGGAGCCTGAACAAACCCCAACGGTTGTCTACCCTCCAAACTCGAATCTCAGAAGTGGGTAAACAGAATCAGGTGAATGTTAAATATAAATATCAACATACACACACACACACATATATATATATATATTATGTGTGTGTACATACGTATATGCAGGCACGGTTTAGGGTTTTCGGGCTCAGGTGGAATCCTGGCTCCAGAACTCAAAAGAGCTGATCCTACGACCGAAACGCCAAACAACTATCTTACCTATAGTCTCCATTGTAGTTCCTTTTTGGGGATACCTTATCGAATCCTTAATATATAATTGGTTAAACCAAAAAAGGAACTACAATGGAGACTATAGGTAATTGCAGTCGCCGATAGCTATGCCAGCACTAAGGCAACACAAGCTCGGCGCCCTAAGCTCAACCGTACCCCCTAAATGAGGGAGGCAACAAACACCCTGAACCCTCAACCCTAACCCTAAACCACAGGACCATCCCGGCTTCAGCGATGCCGAGTACCGGGACAGGCCGACAGCGGCATGAACAGCTTTCCGTCGTACTCGAGATGAAAAGCAACCACAACTTTTCGGGTTAGTATGCATAGCTTCTGTATATTTCCTTGGTACAGTGAAGTAAGTACCTTGAACTACTCTGGTGGTTTAGGGTTCACGGCCAATTATGACTTTAGCTTTTAAGATCTGAAGGGTTCGGGGTTTAGGGTGTCTTGCTGTTCTTGTCTGTTACCACGAGAAGTCTTTGTTCGGGAAAGTTCCTGGTGCGTGTCTGCTAGCGCGTCAACTCATATGTCAATGCAGAAGTGTAGCTTCTTGACCATCATGAGCACCATAAAAGCGCTAGGATCGAGGACGATACACTACTTACACTCATCACGCCTCGTCCCACCAGCGCAAGAATGACCCTTTCTGTACTCGCCTGTTTCCTTGCTCTAATTACAACTTTAAGCTCAACGTTATCTTGTGCCTCCCCGCTTTACTCAGAGGGTCCACATATATATATATATATACACATATACATACACACCGAAATTATGGAGTTATGCCCCAAAGACCATCCTAATCATGGTTTTGTGGGGCACCTAACTCTAAAATACTGCTACATTTGGATCCTCCTGAGGGTTCGCTGATATAGCTCGACCATAAAGGAGACCAAGGCGCTATTCAAATTATCGAGGCCCCTGGGGTACTGCCCTAAACCAAAACCCTAAACCCTAAACCCTAAACCCTAAACCCTAAACCCTAAACCCTAAACCCCTAAACCCTAAACCCTAAACCCCAAACCCTAAACCCTAAACCCCAAACCCAAAACCTTAAACGCTATTCAAATTATCGAGGCCCCTGGGGTACTGAGCCAGGAGGGATCGCGTCGTCCAACTGGCGAAGGCTTACCGCCACGGAGATCGCCTGCCCTTTATACAGCCGCTGGGTTCGTGTGGACTTATATAAAGAAACTACAATCAGGAGCCCTAAAATTGTAGGTTATTTGGGAGGTTCCGAAAATAAGGGGTACCTTATGTTGGGGTCCTTATAATAAGGATCCTTCCTGTTTAGGGTACTATATTAGGGGTTCGGTGCAAGTGGGTTTAAGGTTTACTGTAGCAGCCTAATTAAGTACCAATATTATTCCTTAGGGGTTCCTTATTATTGTTTTCGTATACGTGGTCCCAAAACCCTATTCAAACTATTAAGGCCCCTACATGAGGGGTTTAGGGTTGACCTCTCTCAAGGGCTTGTACAGGGAGACTAGTGTAGCTCCTGGCAGCGTTCTCCTCTCAGTTGTGAAGAGTTTGGGGGGTCGGACGGTGAGGGGGCCAGATCTGAGCCATTTCTCTGCACTTCTTGGAAGCCCTAGCCGGAAGCGCATGTAAAGGAGAGGCTCTTAGCCCCAAACGCCTACACCCCTGCATGTCGAGGGCACAAGTAGTATGCTTCCGGGTCTTCTCAGTTGCAGTCGTGCACCCTTGTGAGGGGGTTGACGGCTTTGTTCATAAAGCTTTCTGGACGGGAAGTCTAAACTCTAAACCCTCCTAAAGTCCTAAGGCCCAGAACTTGAAAGATCCCTTTGTCTGTCGATAGAGGAGCCACAATCTGCAAAATTATGTTGTGCACTTCTGCCTTCTTTCCTTATACTCCAGTTGCCATTAGAGAGCATGTTTCCTAGTGTGCCTGGTCGATCTGCTTAGTGGATTAATATCGTAGCTCTCCCTGTTGCGTCGCAGTAAGATTGGGAAGATGGGGCAAGGATGATCAGTGCCATGCAGCCACTTTCGCTGTGATGGTGAATAAGTGTGTGGTTGGATGAACGTTACCGGCCCCACCGCAACTTGACGAGTATTCAATCTCTTTGCGTACCATTTCGTTTTTCCGAATCGTCACCGCGGCGAGAGGAACTGTCAAGTGAAGCCACAGCTGAGGTATACCGACAAAGAGATTTCAACTTGGCAGGCCTTCAGCCAGTCAGGGTGCAGCGTAGCTAGCGCTCTCGGCATGTTTTCCTTTCTTGTCTGTTGGTTTCGGTTTGGGGTGATGGGCGTTTAGCTGTTTCCTGGACACGACAGCATGCAGACCTACATAAACTAGCTCCCTTCCCACGCTTCGTAGGCTGCCACTTTGTCGCACAGCGAAAGCTCATCATTTTGCCTTTTGCAGCATCACGTCCGCGTTGGGGTAGGGATCCGCTGCTTCGGCTTCGTCCATAGCGCAGGCTGTTTACGAGCGGCTGCAAGATTGCCACGCGAAGTGGGCTTGCACTGAGTACAGCACCTTGCATTGGTTCATCAGACTAGTCTTGCAAGAGAACTGCGTAGCTTCGAGCATACAGAGGTATATAGAGGTTCGTTCATGTTCACTCTCCAGCCATGTGTCTGTTCAGAGCATACCATAACGACAGTGGAAGGAGGCCGTCACACTTTCGAACCCTGTCCGTTATTCTTCTTACACACCCGGTCTCCAATAGTTCACCTTCGGCTGCGACCCAGGAGACATGCTGCAGCAGATGGAGAAGTACTGCGGCTGCGGCCTCAGAGTCTGGCTGAGAGTATAGGTAGTATTATTAGGGGTACCCCTTAAAGGGTACCCCTTCTGAACCCCTACTTTTGGCTCTCTTAAAAGGGACCTTATTGAGAGGGTCTATATCCCCAAGGGTCCCCCTAATCCTAGCTCCCAGAGTAGGGTTCGACGGGTCGTGGTCGGAGGTGAACAACCTCGCAGCTCAGAAGGCAACCTCCTAGCTCCATAGATAATATCTTTTCATTCACACATACATGCGTACGTAATAGATGTGAATATACAAGATTTACACACACACACACATATATATATATATATATGTATATATATATAATTATTTATATACACATAAATACATATATATATATATATATACAGATCTACACATGTCAGTGTTATGTTTGTCTTACCATAAATCACCCCACCATGGATTAGCCCTTGTTGGTCCAAGGAGTTCGACGCTTGGGATCATGAGGTCATACGGAAGATGCTTGTACCGATGTATGATGTTTTGGAGTCGGACATCTTGCGGAGGTTTTTTCCTGAGGGCTCCTTACTAGAACTTACCTATAACCTGCTCCAAATCCTATTCATGCTCCTTGTAACAAGCGCCAAGATCATGATGTCAGCCCTTCCCACAAATGATTTTGTGGGGTTGAGCCTGAGTCAGTGGGCTAAAGGATCTCAATCCCGGAACTCGGGGGGTGCCTAAAGTCTCCGTTGTCTTTCTTTTTTTTGGGTTACCTTTACAGGATCGAAGGTTTAACAATTCCCAAACCAACAAAGGAACTACAATTCAGACTATTGGTGGGCCTGAAATGCTTGATCCCAGGCTACAGGGCGAACAACATTCCGCAGCAACTTGGCTGGAAAGGGGCCCAAATTGTATCTACTGTCATTAAATCAGCCGACAATAAACGCACAGGCTTTGGGTAACTTGGAACATGTTCTATGTTTTTTGAGGCAGCTGGGCCCACATGCCGCGACTTGTCGATAAGTTCATACCTAAATTCCACGGTCACCAAGCCAAGACGTCACGGGACCGAGAGCTGTGATCTTGAAACCATGCCGGAAGGCATCTTTAGGTATTGCGTGGTTGTAATCGGAAGAAATACTGTGAAGAGTACGGTACAATCTGGGGGGGTCAGGGTTTATCATGCCGGTGGTCAAAGTAGGCCTGTTGTAGTCCCTAGGTCCCTAGACAATAAATTACGTATGATGTCCCCAAAACGCCTACTCCACATATTGAGGCTCCTGTATCAGGTTTCCGGCTCGCTCTTTTGAGTCAACCTCTTCTATTGTACCTTTCGGCTGGGCCAAGGCTTGCACACTTGACTTGGACATCCGTAGTTGAGGTGTGTCTGCAGATACTTGATACTGCAACATAGGGGTTGGAATATATTTTCATAAGTATCATAAGACTGTTTAGTTTTGTTCTAGGTTCCTTAATCCGTTTATGTTGTAACATGCTACAAAAGCCTATTCTCAGTATCACGACCCCTATTTTTGGTATTCCGTGAACCAGCAGCTCCTCCCGACGACGACGCCGCGTTACTGCCAGCATCTCTTCTCCTTACTGCTGCAGTTTTGGAATCCCACTCTGGAGTCCGCATAAACCATGAAATCCGAAACCCTAGACCCCTTGCCAGGCTTGTCCGAGTGTGAGTGTCACAAAAAGAACCCCAGGACCCTGTACTACACCCGAAACCCTAGAATCCAAAGCCTACTACCAAACTCTGCACGGTAATTCCGACACTCCAAGACGTTGAGGCTGGCTGATATCTCAGACTTCCTGCAGCAGCGGACAGGCTTTCCGGTGCACTGCCAGAAAAACTGCTGCTTGCATTCCGGAACAGCAGTTGATTCTCATGAGTTGTAGGGCTCTGAACAGCAACATCCCCTTCGGCCGGAACAACGAAACCGTTTATTCTGACTCTTTGGGACTGTGGCCTCTTCTGCTTCAGATTTAAGCCATTCCATCCCCTTCCCGAAGACTCTGTTCTAGCATTGTCATTACATGATAATGCTCTTGACAGAAACAAAAGGATAGCCCGACAGCAACATCACCAGCAACAGCAGACATCCCTTAAATGCTCGTTCCCAGCAACACTGTCGACGTTGGTAACGGCCAGAACTTTGGCGATGGTTTTAGTCAACAGCCGCACTGCTGAACATATCGAACTGAAGACTATCTGCATAAACACAGAGAACTCATAAACCGGGCATGATCTTCCCAGAACAACCTAGGGACCCTAAACCCCAAAAATCCTAAACCCCCTACACCCTACAATCCCTGAGTCCTAAACCCTGACCCCTAAAGCCTGACCCCCAAAGCCTAAGCCCTGAAGCCTAATTCCTATACCGAGAGGCTTCACCTTGCGCCCGATCAGCGGTCTGCTGTCGGCCCGCGACTTCCTGAATGCTTTGGCCTTCCGGGCTCCCAGAAGCACAAGAGGGTTTAGGCTTTAGAGAAGAGGGTTTCGGGCTTTAGGGGAGAGGGTTTAGGTTGTAGCTTCTTGGGTTTAGGGTGAAGAATTATAAGGGGTTAAGGCCAGAGGACCTCCCAGGTTTCCAGAAATAACAAGGATCAAGGCATGAGCGTACGAAGCTTGGACACTTAACTCTGAAGCTTTGGGGTTCAGCGGCTACGAACCGTTACAACCGTATGAGAAAGAATTAGTCAATCGTCGGGTGTCCCTGTGTCTCTGCGAACTTCTTCAAAAAAGACCACCGCAAACCGATAGCCTTCGCATATTTGTTTACGTAAACACAATTATGGAGGTCGGCGGACATCTCCAAATCTCTTTCGGGGCCAGACCGCACAGGAATTGGATTGGCAAAGTATCGCGCAGTCAGGAATTCCTGTCAAATACTTGTTCATAATCTCCAAAACCCCTACATGGGGTTTCTGGGGCTTTGCAAGGGTTCAACAAGTGGAAACTTTCTAGTTCGAGCTGTTGGTGTTGTTGTTAACTAGGGCCTTTAGGGTGCAGGGCATCTATACGAGTGACACCAATGGAGGCTTTTGGAAGTTGAAGGAGAATGCGAAAATTTAAAGATGTTTTGACATAAGCAGTCGTTGGTGCTGAAGAAGAACAGTGATAGAAACGTTCCGTCATGTTTATCGTCATCGGCACTGACGCAAGATTGTATGTCCACACATGCATGCTGCACACACCCTCGGTGTCAAGCATGAAGCATAGTTCGACCTGCACTCCCAAGGTTTTCTATTCGACGCAGTACATCAGGACTGTCCGCCCAACGAGCCCCCAACATCGGGGAAGCCAAGCCACACGAGAATATTCGTCTATTAACGTGTATTAAGGATATTGAGAGCTCCTGGCATTGGGGTTTCCGATTCGGTGGCTGTTTGCACAGGGGATTAATTACGTTCGAGCTTGCAATGGAAGAATCCCTTCCGCCGTGAAGCTTGAAATCACCAGCCCAACTCCGGAACGGGAGCCGGGCTACAGAAGAGAAGCGCCAAACATTGCATAGCACTGCACCGCACGTCAGCATGAGCAATACGAAAGAGCATGCGTACTAACAGTCACTGCGGCACTAGGGCTACGCAAAAGCTGCACATACTGGTCATGACATCATATATGCTTTGGGTTTAATCCTTTATAGTATCTCTGTATGGGACTTTCCGAAAATTAGGGGTACCTTACTTTGGGGTCCCTATAATAAGGATCCTATTATTAAGGGTACTATATTAGGGTCCCCTACTTTTCGGAAACTCCCATATGGGATGCCGACGCACACTTACCGACTCTTGGCTTCCTACTTTTTTAAAGCCGAAGGCTCATGACCGTAGGGTTTAGGGTTTAGGGTTTAGGGTTTAGGGTTTAGGGTTTAGGGTTTAGGGTCATGACCGTTAGGCCCACACAGCATCCTGCGGGCTCCAATATCGGTGAAGTGTGCCATACGTCCTCCAAATAACAACCAGGACTTTGTCAGAGAAGCTTCCCTGGGGTCCTTCATATAGGGGCCCTTGAAGTTAGAATAGGGTTTTGGGGTATTTTTTCCTCAGCATAAGGAACCCCCAAAACCCTATTCCGATTGTTAAGGCCCCTACATTAATCATTAACCCTGGTCCCTTGACGATACAACGAAAGGTGAGGGTTTGCAAGGCCTCCTTGCCTTGCCTCTGACAACATGATTCTGAGAGTTACCTGATGATTTGTGTAGGAAACTTGTTGGGGTCCTCAATTATCGTTAAGGGCTCCTGAACTGCTGGAGTTTGGAGCTCCTTCGTCCAACTCTTGCTGAAATACCTGCAGGCACCACGGAAACCCTTTCTACACTCCAGAGCCAGATGCGGCCGGGCTTGCATCGACACGTGGTGGTTTTGGCGTGGGGGCTTGGGCTTTACATTCTGGGGGCTTGGGCTTGGCAATTTCCGTAGAGTGCTTCTTGCTAGCCAATCTAGCTACAAGCTCGGCTTATAAACAAAACCATACTACACCCCTCAAGAGGTCCTATAATGTACGCCCGAACCTTCTGATCCCGTCCCAGCCCAAAGCCCTGCACCCTATACCCGAAGCCTATACCCTAAACCCTGCATCCTAAACCCAAAGCCTTATATACCCACTAGACTCCAACCGTATGTGAATATTCACGAACCCTATGAGTATCCAAAGCCGAATCCGTAAGCCCCAACTCGAGAAGCCCAGGTTTGTCATGAACTTTTGGGTCACGTCCCCCTCTTTGCGAATCCGGCCTTCGCGGATTTCTCGCAAGAGATAGGCAGCTCGACAGCGATGTCACTACGGGGTACTAGTGTTACGTATATTACTAATGGTTAGAATATTGGTCGCAATGACAAGGATAGTCGTAATAGTAGTGAAACCTGTCGCAGTAGTCACCAGTAGGCTAAGTCGTAGTATTGCTGCTATGCTTTGGCCCGGTCCCTTGATAGAGTCCCTTGCAGCTGCTACTGTATCATAAGGGGCTTTTTCCAACACTACACGATACGCCACGATGTAGTATCCCCTAAATCCTATAAACCCTAAACCCTAAATCCTGAACAGCCCAGACCCTCGACCCTAAACCCTCAAACCCTCTGGGTCCCGGGTTTGGGGCCCTTGGGTTTATTATAGCTCGGAGGCACAGGTGTGTTATACCCCGAAGCACTGTGTAATGCCGCAGCGCAGGATTTGTTTAGGAGAAGTCTTGAGTTTTATGGGTTTAGAATTGAATGTTATCTGGTTCGGGGTTTTGGGTTTATAGGGTTTTTTAAGGTCTAGGATTCTGTTTTATGGTTTAGGGTTTAGGATTTCATTATGGGATGTGTATTGCTATCGTTCAAGCTTATCTCGCAGAGTTCTTGGCGATTTCTGCCCCAGGCCTCGCATCTCTAGCAGCCTCCGACGACGATGTCACACGCCTTGCGTCGGTGTACTGGTTCACCGTGGAGTGCTCCGGATGGATCTTTTCTTGTGTTTAGTTCGGGTGTTCAGCTTTTCCGGGTTGGTGCGTTGGGCTGCTCGGTTTCAGTTTGGTAGTGCGGCCTTGCCTTCAGGGCTTTTTCGTTCTCATGCTTTCTCCGTCCTCATCCTAAACCCTAAACCCCAAACCCTAAACCTTAAACCGTCTCTCAAAGTTTACCCGTGGCGGTGGCTCTGAGAAATTCCGGGCGCGTCTGGGCTTAGGCTCCAGGCCTTCGGCTGTAGCTCAGGGTGCAGACACGGCTTGCCTTCTAAAGCCCAAAGCCTCGACCCCAAACCCGCCTCACCAACTGCATTTCGAGGCCATTGCTTGACTCCCCGACAGGTCCAAAGCACTCAGCGGTGATCTTCTAGGATGTTCAGTAGCATCTGTTGTTACTTTGTTGCTTCTGGTTCGAAGCATACTAGAAGTAATCCCTAGGCTTTTCCCGAGTGGGTTACTGAACAGCTTCGTATTTGCGAACCTTGCCAGCATCACTCCGATGCCGGGGTGCAAGTATGAGGTGGGATACTATTGGCCTAGTATGGAATCTTGTAAGCTCTCTTGGCCACAATGCCGCAGTTATCTAATGTTATCTATCTACATAGCTCAACTATGGAGTACTGAATTCCCCAAACCCTAAAATCCTAAAGCCCTCCGAAACCGCGATAAACCCAATGAACACCTGAAGCATCTGACAGCAAAGGCTAGACTTTATGAAATCCCAATACAAGCCTAAACCTGAAGCATGTATCAAAACCCCTGATATCAAAGCCTTCGCGGGGCCAAACCCTCAATAAACCCTAAACCCTAAACTCTTTACCTTTAACCGTTTTTGTAATCAGGTTCGGATTGCTGCGCGAAGGCCGGCAAGCACCGGATCTCATAGTCACAACCCATGCTGTTAGGGTTCGTCCATAAGAACTTCGGGATCCCTTGTTTAGAGGTTCAGGGTTTAAAAGGTTTAGGGTTTAATTAGGGTTGAGGGCTTAAAGTGCTTAAAGGTTCAGAGTTTAAGTAGGGGACCTCATGATCGAATGTAAGTCTGTACTCGCTGATTGGTAAGTGAACAAGGATTTAGGTTTCGGGCTGGGTTTTGGGTTTGGGGTTTAGTCTTTTGGGTTTGGGTTTGGGGTTTAGGGCTTAGTAAAAACGAGAGTCGGTTAATACGCGTTAAGCGAACCTATCCAGGACAGTTTCGCTGCGAAAAAACTGCAATAACTACTAGTCGAAGAGTTCACTGCGTACTTTATTAGTTATAGCTAGCAACTAGCAATTCATGAGCAAACTACCCGGCTGATTGAGCAACTAGGCTGAGTGATTGATGCATGAGCTAACCCATCAACTTTTCGATACTTGGTAAGCTGACTACTAGTTGGTTCAGGCCCACGAACTGTTTGTTAAATTGGCCGATGAACGAACGAATGAGCACTGACTTGTAAGCACTTAGTTGAAACAACACATAATATTCATCTCGGAAGCGAGCAGTGGTAATGGCAGTACGCATGCAGGCAATCACCATGATGATCGGGGCTGTTGGTAGTCGTAGAATGTGCAAGTTTCATTGCTAGGAGACAAGTTAACTAATATCACAGTGATTGCAGCGAGGTCATTGTTATTGCCGCTGCTGTCGCTGTCGTTGCTGTTGCTGTTGCTGTTGCTGATACTGGTGCTGTTGCTGTCGCCGTGGTCGTTGTTGTTGTTGGTGGTGGTGTGGTCTGCCAAGGTTGCATTTGCAAGAAATAGATGAAAACAAGTCACAGAATATCTTTGTGTCGAAACCAGAGACCACAACTGCCAGGTTTGTTGAGGCTAATCACTAGACCCATCCCCTGCCGCTTGTGCCAACCTCAAGCCGCACCGCTGTTGTACGAACTTTGCTTGAGTTCAAAGATGTTCGAGCAGCTGGTTGCTACTGCTGGCATGTAGGGTAGATACCCAGCCCAACATCACAACACTTAAGTGTGCTTGCTTGTGTTCTTGCTGTGTGAGCCTCCTCACAAGATGTAGTCTTAGCCGCTCTCTGAGCCTCAAATGCCCAAACCCTAAAGCCCAAAACCTAAACTGCGTAAACGCTAAGCCCCAATACCTTGCCGGCCTTATGCGAGTGTGAGAGTCGAAACCCAAATGTCTAAACCCTAAAGCCCAAAACCTAAACTGCCTAAATCCTTCACCCAAACACCTTGCCGGCCTTGTGCGAGTGTGAGGGCCGAAACCCAAATACCTAAAGCCTAAAGCCCAAAACTTAAACTGCCCAAACCCTACACCCAAAATACCTAAAGCTTTAAGCCCAAAAGGCTCGAAGCCCTTAAGCCGCAACCTTGATTTGGATAATGTCTTCCCGCCGCGCCACTCTTTAGGGCTTATAGGTTTTAGGATTTAGGGTTTTAGGGTTTACGATTTAGGGCTTAGGGTTTACGATTTAGAGCTTAGGGTTTAGGATTTAGAGTGTAGGGTTTGGGATTTAGGGCGAAGTGGAAAGCCTGTTGCAAAAGGGTTTGGAGGCAGCGACTGCAAAGCTTTCGGTGCTGGCTTGTTCCCTGGCATGGCAGACCTTTTACGGGGCTTCGGTGCAGGAGCTCGGGCTTCGGATGTGGGGCTCTGCTGTTATACTCAGAAGGGACCTGAGGCCGCGAAGTGGCCAGTCTCGCATTGCAGTCATGAGTACTGTGCTGTGGGTCAAGCTGGGCAGTAAGGGACAGCAGTCGTGTCCCTTGTGGAAAAAAAGAGGGATGGAAGACGGCCTTTATAGAGCTCATGTATTCACATTTCGGTTTTTACCGGAAGCCCCTATTTATGGAGTTCCGCTCGTTCTTCCTGCTCCTGAGGCTCAGCTCTTTCGGGGAGATGGAGTGGGCCTGCGCTGCAGATCCCTCCGAGGTCCACTACCTGGTGGGGTTTTATGGTGTGGGGTTTCGTTCGCTGTCTCTTTTTAAACCGTTGAGAGGCCCCTCCTCAATATGATTTGTACTACAATGAGCTATCAAGGGCGATTGGGCCGATTGGGCTCTGTAACTACTCTGAGAGATGCCCCATTATGGCCCTAAGCAGCATTGACTGGCAGCTAGAGGCACGGTCCTCACCTGCACCGGGCGTAGGCTTGAGATAGACCCTTGATCGCTTAGGGCTGAGGGTATAGGGCTATAGGGCTTAGGGTTCTAGGGTTATAGGCCATGGGTTTATAGGGTTCAGGACCTAACCCTAAGCCCTAAACCCTACACCCTAACCCCAAACTATAGGGGTTTAGGGTTTAGGGCCTTAACCCCAATCTGTGACCCGGTCGTTTCGATGGCAGGAGTGCCGCGAGATGGGAAGCATGAAGCAGCTCCTGAAGCCGACGGTTCTGTCCTTAGATCCCGTCCAGGCGCGGCGAGAGTTTAGGGTTTAGGGGCTTTGGGGGTTTAGGGGCTTAGGGTTTATGTGTAGGGGCTTTGGGGGTTTAGGGTTTAGGGGCTTAGGGTTTAGGGGCTTAGGGTTTAGGGTTTAGGGGCTGGGTTGTAATATGGGGGGCCTTAATAATTCGAAGAGGGTTTTGGAGCCCATTATACTAGAAGTATAATAAGGAACCCCCAAAACATGATAGGTACTTATCAAGGCCTCTATATATTAGGAGTTTTGTCGGGTGAGTGTTTCAGAGCATTCCTAAGTGCGTTACTTCACGATGCCTGACTATGGTGTGTTGCAAGGCAGCGGGAATCGGAAACGCGTCGAAAGAGCAACCCGCCATGTGCAACAATCACATATCAAAGACAGAGAAAGAAGACGAATAATTCGGAACAACGACACACCGGTAGATGGGTGCCTTCGTGATCCAGATCCCAAATCAAATCCAGACTCCTGCAAAATCTGCATGGCCTCTCCCCAGCCAGACTAGCTGGAAGCCGTTGTTTGCAATTCTGGCCCCTTTGGGTTTTGAGTTTTAGGATTCTCAGTTGCCCCCCTCTTGGTCTACAGCAGACTGGGAGGCTGCCAAGCAAGAGTACCCGCCGCTGGGCACAGCGCTTCTTTTGTGTGGGCTTTCGCTTGTTTTTCGGATGTTTACCATGGGTAGCTCTCCAAGTTAGGGTCTATCTTATAAGGGTGCCGTGCTATTTTGGGGACTACCCAAATGGTGGATTCCAGTATATCAATTTCTGGTCATAAGCTGGAAGTTGTGCAGAGGAGAAGTGTCATCGTGGTCCCGCTTCTCTGATTAATTTGGGCTCTCTGAGGGTCTTTGAATGTGAGAACTTCCGTAGCTGACAAAGCTCTTCGACAAGAGCCCACTCGCCATGCGCTGCGAGAAGCAGACTTTCCGTGCCACACAGGTTAACACCGTCACCGGACGGTCACCCCGTGCCCTAAACATGTCCAGAACCATTTCTCTAGCATGAGCCCTTGAGCTCTAGATCCACAGGCCTAAAACCTAAAGCCCGAACCCGCAAGACTTTGAAGCTCAAGAATGAACCCTAAACCTTTGAGGCCCGACTAAGCACAGAAGCCCTGAAACTCATCACCGAACCCCATCTCCCCAAAGCCCGAAGCCTTGAATGCGTAGTTCTCCAAGTTAGGGTACATTTCTACATCCCCCCCAACAAAATAAACAAGGCACCCTTAACAGAACAAAAAAGGACGCTGTTTTGTTAGAGAACTAAGCCGAATGCAACAGGATCACAACTTATCAGCCGGTCCTCTTCTGCGCCGACAGCCTGCAGGACTTGAGCTGGTTTGGGGGATTCAGACTCTAGGGTTTAGGGTTTAGGGATGTTTAGGGTTTGGGGTTTAGGGTTTAGGGATGTTTAGGGTTTAGGGTTTAGGATGTTTAGCGTTTAGGGTTTAGGGATGTTTAGGGTTTAGGGATGTTTAGGGTTGTTTAGGGTTTAGGGATGTTTAGGGTTGTTTAGGGTTTAGGGTTTAGGGATGTTTAGGGTTTAGGGTTTAGGGATGTTTAGGGTTTAGGGTTTACGGATGTTTAGGGTTTAGGGTTGGGGTGGGGGGGTGGGGTTTGA